AAAGGGCCGTCGTCGCCGCAAACTAAAGTTGCCTCTAGAGGGAAGGAGGAGGAGGAGGAAATGAGGGGCGTGTCGGCGGCACATCCAGCGGCGGCAGTGGGAAAACAAGACGCGGAGACACGCAGCGACAACCGCAGCGGACACGGCGCACAAACTCAGCGTGAGCCGCAGTGAGTTGCCCCAACGGAAAAAAACTAAAACAAAAGAAAAGAAATGGAAACCCCGCAACGCCCTTCCCAAAAATAAATGAAAACAAAACAATCACTTCGGCAGGTGATGTTCCTTCACTTTCACGTGTCCAGCAGCACAAGAGGACTGTGAGAGATGTATGTATATTTTAACACCTGCACGAACGAAAAAAGAAACAATTGCCCCGGTCGCACATGCACACATCAAGGTTGCACCTCACGGTGGTCGCGGCCTTGTGCCTCACTTCGGCAGTCCTTGCGGCGCACAGCAATGCGGCCGTCAACGCGTGTGTGTGTGTGTGTGCGTGTGTGTGTGGGTGGCAGCAGCAAACAGGAGGGGGAAAAAAGGGTGCGCCGCCCGTGGGAACGTGCATGGGGTGGCGAAGCAAACGAAGAGAAAACATCCCTCAGAGCACAGGAGGGAGAGAAGGATTGACCCACAGGAACGGCAAGCAAAATGAAGGAAAAAAAGCACACTTAAATGAAGAGACCCGCATGGGTCGCAGCGCACACCTCTCCCCATGCGGAATCACAATTCAACACTCCTTCGCTCAGAAGCCTGCCGCGACGCCACAAAGCGCCAGAAGAGTCAGCAGCGTTAGCCAAGACACGCACCCACGCACAGCGACGTCGCTCTCTGTGTTCAGCTGGAACAGCCCTGTGGTGTTCCTGAAGGCAGCGGAGTTGTTGCTTAAGTGCGGTGCAGCGTCGCGTGTTGGCGGGCTGCCTGGCTGCCCAGGCGCCTGAGCCGTGGGTGCCGTGGCGGCGTTGCTGGGTGCCTCGTGGCCGCCGTCCGCGCCCGCCGCAGTTTGGGGGTCGGCGCCATTTTCTTCCGCGACAGCGTTTGGCGTCTCGCCGGTGGGCGCGGCGGAAGCAGACGGCACGCCGCCAACGACCTCTGGCGCGTGCGACGGAGTGCCCTGCTGCGCCTGGCCGTCATCCATGGGCCCACTCCGCGGAGGCGCGTCACCCACCGGGTCCGCCGTGGCTGCACCGTCTGCGGGGGGCGAGGGCCCTCGTTGCCGCTCGGAAGTTTCCGCATCGACAGCCCGCTCAGTTGCGCCTGTGCGAGGAGCACCGGCCGCAGCCGGCGCTGCCAACGGTGGGGGCGCCAATGCGCCGCCATTGCCTTCTGTCTTTTTTTCCTCCTCCTTTTCTTTTTCATCCTCCGCCTCTTCTGCTTCCTCTGCGTCGGAGTTGTGCGTGTTGTTAGAAGGTGTTGACGCCTCGCCTGCTTCTCTGCCTTCTTCTTGCGTCAACTGAGTAGCCGCTTCTTCTTTCTCCTCTCCTTCTTTCGGTACTTCTTCCTCTTGCTGGTGCTGTTCCTCCGACGGGCTGGGGTGGGAGTCCCCGGCGGATGGCGCAGGAGCGACCTTCACTTCGGTGCCCGGTGGCGCAACTCCCGGGCCCGGCACTTCAACGGCCTCCTCCTCCCCAGCAGCAGCGGCGGCAGCGGCGGCATCGGCGGCATCGGGGTTCGTCGTCAGTGCCGCGAGCTCGGCCTCGCTCAGAGCGCGGCTGTACAGCAGGACGTCGGCCACCGTCACCTCAACGCCGCCCGCAGCGCCCCTGCCGAAGTAGAAGTGCGAGATGCTGCGCGACTTCAACAGCTCCTGCAACTGTTTAGAAACGTCGCTTTCTTCCCCATCATCATCTTCGCTGTCGTACACACGCGAGCCACCGACGTACACAACCAACCCCTCACCGTCATTCATCCCCAGTGCCACGCGGTACGTTTTCTCCTCCTCCCACTCTTCATCCTTCGACAGCTCCAGGGACTTGTTGTTGAATATCACTGCCCACCTCTTCTCCTTCGTGCACGACAGACCCAGGAGCACAGTGTTGTCCCCGTCATTCAGCTTCGCGCCCAGCAAAGGAGCCGGGCTGCCGCCTTTCGCTGGCTCAGCGTGGATGGTCACCTTCGCCACAAGCGTAAACGCGGTGTTTGCAAAGTGGTACCGCTGATTCTGCCCCTGCCCGCCCACGGGCCACTCCGCGCCTGCTGCTGCTCCTTTGAACCTCAGCCCGTTGGCAGTCGTCTCCACCGTCCCGTGAACAGCTGCGTCCACGCAGCCGTACGCGTCCTCCCACTGTTTGCCGTCAGCCGACAGCTTGGACAAAAACCCAACCGGTCCTGTAGCGGGGGCATTGTCATCAGCACCGTCCTCCACTGTTGCTGGGCAAGTTCCCTCCTTGCAGCCGTAGCTCTCCGCAACGCGCTTGTCCGCTGCCTCCCAAGTGGCCAGCGCCGCCTTTATTTTCCCCAACTCTGCCGCCAACTCCACAAAAACGACGCTGCGTTTCCCCTCAGCAGCGGCAGCCACCTCGTAGGAGCCGTACAACATGCCCGCTCCCTTTTCCTCGCCCTGCGGTGCGGCGTAGAGCAGAGTGCTGGCGGCGGCGTCCTCGGCCTCAGCGGAGATCGGGCCAACGTCGTAGATCCGCCTCGCGTCCGTCAGCCACAAGTGCAGTCGCCCCTTTTTTTCTCCTTCTCCTCCTCCTTCCCTCGCAGCAGAGTACACCGGCGTGGT